TAACCAATAAAAAATTAACAAAAAAATAAATTAAAAAAAAAAAAAAAAAAGGCACAGTGAGGTTTCTGTTTAGAGCTTTGTATTTAGCAGCTTCAACCTCATGGTTTGATTCCCGCATAGGTGGGTTACACGGGCACAGCCTGGACTCTCAGCTCTAGACAGCTTTCTTATAAACGCAGGTTGCTGCTTACTTACAAAGTAGGGGGTCCAGGCAAGAATACCCAGGGAGTTTGGCTCACATCCCAAGTCTTGAGAAGGCTTATAGTACAGGCCCTTTTGCTGGCAGAAGAGTGGGTTATAGAATCAAGTGTGTGATTAACTATAGCCTTTAACCCAAGGCAGCAACCATGTTGTAGCAAATTGACAAAGGACTAGTGCAGCCTTGTAACACCAAGGTGGAGGGTTTGGATCCCCATACCAGGCAGTCCCCCCTGCAAAAAAATGAAAAAAGAAAAAATTGGCAAAAGGCTACATCAGGCTCAGAAAAAATTTCTGATCACTTCTCAGTAATAGGAGAAAGAAGTGTGCTCCCAAGCTCACTTCCTGATAAGGCTCTACCTCAAGTTCAGAGAAGTCCTCAGGTACAAAACCAAAGTACCTCGGCATACTTCATCATTTTTTCCATTGCTGAGTAAATTAAATTACATTTGCCCTGCTTATTCTATGATACAATAAAGTTAGTTCGAGAAATGTTGTTCTTACTGTAGGGTTGTATTTTGTTTTCAGTTCTCTGTCCCCGTATTTCAGGATGTGATTAGACATTAAGTAGCATGTCCACAGCAGTTGGAAACTGTTAGGAACATGGGATGTATGTTGTAGTTAATTTTTCTTGTATTCTCTAGGCTGGTTTTTGGCTTGGTTTTTAAAAGATAATCATAGGGCCAGCCCTGTGGCTCACTCGGGAGAGTGCGGCCCTGGTAGCGCCGAGGCCTCGGGTTCGGATCCTATATAGGGATGGCCGGTTTGCTCACTGGCTGAGCGTGGTGTGGACCACACCGTGCCGAGGGTTGCGATCCCCTTACCTGTCAAAAAAAAAAAAAAGATAATCATAGACTTTCGAAAATAGCCATAAAAAGGTGGAAGGAAGAAACCCTGTTGTTACTCTTGCGTTTTAACTTGTTTGCTTGTTTCTCTTTGCCTCTTGCAGATACAGTTCACTGGACAGTTAATTAACAGTCTCCTATTGACATTAACATTCTCCTGTTGAGTTTTGCTTTTTTAGACTGGTTTGAAAATCTGTACAACCAATCATCTTTTTAGAGAATGACCTAAACTCAAATTTGCACACAATGCAAAGCATTTATAGGCACCTTCTCCAAGCCCTCATCCAGAGCACCTAAGTCAGGAACCTCAGTCCCTGAAGGCCAGCAGGAGGCCTGGAAGAAGTGGGGTAGTAAGGACATTATAACCCATTTCTACCTGGAACTTTTCTTTGTTCTCACAAACAGGAGGCTGCCATTTTTTGTCTTATTCAGCATCTGTTAATCTTAAAGCACCCCTCAATCAAAGTGCTTTTGCTTCAGAAGTTCTGAATGTGCCTTGGCATTTATAGAGCTCCAGTTATAACATACATGTGAAAGTAATATGTGTTACATCTTCATAAAACCATTATTAAATATTCACTTTGTGTCTACTATACATAGTACCTTCATAAATTATCACTATTTAGCTCAAAGGGGAATTTTTATTTCTATAGATAGATTATTGCTCCTTTCAAAAAATAAAACCTTAGAGTGTGGTGTTATAACACCAAGGTCAAGGTTCAGAATCTTGTACCTGCCAGCAGCCAAAAAAAAAGTTTTCAAAAGCAAATATAGAAAGTTATATGGATGTAAAAACAATCAAAAACCAAAAGAAAACTTGCCCGATATGTTCTTTTAGTCTTAGTTGCTAGGGAATACAGAGCCAGAAAAACTGTAATTTTAGGAACTTGCTCATCCCAGTTACCTGTGAGTAGCTTTCCTTCCCACTTCCTTTAGGCAACCTCTCCCTATGCTGTGTCCCTGAATCTGAGTGCCCTGAGCTGGGCTGCAGCAGCATTTAAGAAGTCAAGCTCCACTTCCCCTGAAAGCTTTGGCCTGGATGAAACAGCCAATGGGCCTGAGGCCCTCATTAGGGCTGCTGCACTGTTGGCTTTAAGTGCCACAGAAGGCAGATCTTTTCACGACACTCCCAATGCTTGTTGATCATATAAGTCACTCGGTTATTTTTTTAATACTCAGCCGATTTTGTTTCCAAGCAACAGAAATTGACAATCAGTATGTTGTGTTAAGTGTAGCATCTGCCTCTCATATACTAACTGGAGGTTTTGTGGTTGGATATTGGTTGTCTTATTTCATAAGCAGTATCCCCACTGGATCCCCACTTGTTTTGACAAGACCCACCTCCAGGATTAGAACATCTAACTTTTTATTTATGAAGAAATAGTTATTCTTGGGTAGTCAGCAAAATTGTTTCTGATGTACCTAGTGAGATTTTTAAATATATATACACATATATATTTATATCTACATAAGTATATACTTAAAACTTCACTTAATATATATAAATATGACTATATATACATAACTATATCTATATAGAGAGATATAGTAACTTTAGCTCTGTCGGACATTTTTCACTTATAAAATATGGGGCTTGGTATTAAAAGAAAATGTTTCTAACCCAATAATCCTCGAACTGTTTGCATATCTATATATGTATATAAATAACATTTTCTGGCCCTTCTGGGGACTCAGACCTGGAATGTGGCCATGTCCTGGTTAAATCCTCACATATATTCAGTCATGATCTCCCCTTCTCTTTCTTGTGCATTAGCTCACAGTGGAGGATAAAATCAGGATCATTGCACAGAAAATCTATGGGGCAGATGACATTGAACTGCTCCCCGAAGCTCAGCACAAAGCTGAAGTCTACACAAAGCAGGTAGATGTTTGGTTGGTTTGTTTAACTCTTTACAAAGCAGGCCTTAGAGTCAAAATCCCTGAGTTCTCCCAACCCTGCAGAGCACTCACTGCTTTGCTTCTTTGGATGGCTGCCTTCTCTCCTCTGAAATACTGGGTTTGGATTAGGTGGTACAATCCCAAGTTCTTTCTTTACCCATAAGTGGTGTATGACTATATAGAAAAAAGCCATGAGGTTATATGGAATGTCTTACTAAAATATTGAGAAGCTCTCCAGTTTTATTCTCATGTCTATTCCAAACTATTATTTTTAATTGGGTATATAGATAGAAATAAAATGCCCACTTGTGGAATATGGTTGTACGCATTTTTATTTATTTTTTTGTCTATAATAACTAAGCTGGAGGACAGTGAGTTAGAGATGGGTATAAAGGGAGTGTGATGTTTCAAATAAATTAAAGCATCCTTGAAATCAAAATTACAAGGATTATAATGTTCTTTGTTGCATTGTCAGCTTCCTTTTGTCTTACCTCCATTCCCCTCTTTCTGCAGGGCTTTGGGAATCTACCTATCTGCATGGCCAAAACACACTTGTCCTTGTCTCACAACCCAGAGCTAAAAGGCGTGCCTACGGGCTTCGTTCTGCCCATTCGCGACATCCGCGCCAGCGTCGGGGCTGGTTTTCTGTACCCTTTAGTAGGAACGGTAAGTGAGTGCTGCAAGAAAGGAGCTTGTTTATCTGCGTTTCTTGTCTTACATGTATTGCTGAAGCCATCAAGCAAATGCCAAATGATTAGAGTATACTGCCGAGGAGAATGTTGGAGTTGGGTCTTTTATGATTAATCCTCTTGCTGCGGACCTTCTTGGTGTCAATTCAAGTATGATGCCATTACTGTTTCTACTGAGTAAAAAATTCTGTTTCCCAGGGCCCTTGACTGAATCTAGGATAGGCCTAACTAGGTAGGCTGGGGTAGTGCTGATACATAATCACAACCAGTGTTTGTGCCGTACACAGGTCACCTCAGTTCTCCCAGCAGCCTTAGGAGGTAGGAACAGAGGCTCCATCCCTCCAGGGACTTGCTGACAGGCCTAGAGCTTAAGCCTGAAATTCAGGGGGTCCATTGTTCTTCAGTCAGGAATTTCCCCATTAATATGGAAATGAATCCTGTAGATATGAAAAGTGAGGTTACTTATTTATACTTTGAAGTGAGTGAGTTGTCCAGCGATTTCTTATCTTATAGATTGTATGCATCGTAAGAGAGGAAGATACTGATAGGGAAGTGGGGGGATGCTCAAGGACATATTCACAGTTTGGACTAACATTGTCCCACAGTTAACATTGATACTGTACTCAGGTTTCCCCCTCAGTTTGCCCGGTATCCTATAGCTACACGCAATATAGCATTGAAATATTAAACCAAACCAACACACAATAAAAAGAAACCAATAGATCTCCTTTTGCAGCTATATCATTCTTTCAGTATAGTGAGAAAGTTCTAGGAGGTAGCATTATGTAGTTGAAAGTGCATGACATTGGAGCCAAATCTAGTTTTCACCTTTGTTCTTGGGCAGGTTATGAAAGGTGTGATCCCTGCTGTCCTCAGCTTGCAGTGTGGGGCAACCTCAGTGTATAATGACAGTAGGCAGCCCACGTTCCCACACACCAGTGCCCTCTCAGCCACTCTAGAGAGCAGGAGACGTAGCCTTGTCATGATGTTCACCAGACTCTGGGATTTGTGGAAATTCCCCTTTAGTAGGAATGTTAAACCATTTACCCAGCACCTTGAATATGACAGAAACGTGTTCTTTCTGGAAAAATTGTCAGCAACTGCCAGCTGAAAGAATGGTAGCTGTACTCTGTGTTGTCACTTTTGATGTCTGAGTGCAAAGGGGTAACTGTAGAGATGAAAGCAAATCTGGATGTTGTCTGGCCTGTGATAGTCTGCCTATGTATAGTTCAGAGAGAGACACGGCCTGCCCAACTCAAGACTTTGTCATTTGGAACAGAGTATGCCTCAGAGGCCTTCAACTTTAACTGGGACCAATATGTTTCTACATAAAATCAGATGGCTTAATCACTATTCTAATACTTCCTGGTTGCTGTTGGGGCCTAAATGGGGCTCAGAGGAAGAGTATTTTATATATGAATTCAAAGTGTGATGGCTTCTTTTCAGAGTTTTATATGTAGGTTCATATGTGTGTATACACATAATCTTTTCTTTTTTCTTTTTATTTCTTTTTTTTTTTTGGTATTTTCTGATTATCAATGACCAATGTTTAGGGGGAAAAAATCCTCTTTGGGAAGGAATAAAAATAGAGAAAATCCTACTGATCACTGTTTTGGGAATCATTTTTAGAGTTTTCTGCATGTACGTGTCTGTATCAATGGGTAATGTCTTTATCTTTTTCTTTCTTTCTTTTCTTTTTCTTTTTTTTTTTGGTGGCTGGCTGGTACAGGGATTTGAACCCCCTATCTTTATAGTGTCACTTTCAGGTTTTTCTGCTAGGTCTGAAGATGAATCCTTTTTCCCCTACTGGTCCCCAAACCCAGCACTTGTTCTTCCTTATCTCTTACAGAATGCAAGAATAGAAACCAGTTGTCAGATCCTTATAGTAGGTTTTGGGGAGTATTCATTGGCCCTCAAATGTCAGAATTAGGTTTTCTAAAGTATTGATGTTTTGTGTTACAAAGATGACATATCATTTTTATAGCCTTTTTATAGTTAAGTTTCAGAAGTTCAGCCTAAGCTGTTTTCCTGCCTGGATCTGATTTAGAACTCCTGTGTATTCATTGTACAGGACATTGTTACAGATAAAAATATACTGAGATTTCACTTATAGGCCATATGAATTGTATCCAAGCAGATATTTGTCAAAGCCAAGTCTTTAGATCAGAAGGAAGTGCAGGGCCAGCCTGGTGGTGCACTGGAGAGTGCGCCGCTTGGGAGCGCGGCGGTGCTCCCGCCGAGGGTTCAGATCCCATGTGGAGACCGGTTCCCACTCACTGGCTGAGCGTGGTGCGGGCGCAACACCGAGGGTTGTGATCCCGTTGCCGGTCCCCGGTACGGGCGCGACACCGAGGGTTGCGATCCCGTTACCGGTCAGTAAAAAAGACAAAAAGGAAAAAAAAAAGAAGGAAGTGCAAATATAATTCATAAGCATTACAAGTTTAGTTTTAGAAGGCCATACTGAACCAGTAAGAATAGTGATTATAAAACCATCTAGATTATGTACAGAAATGTCTTGGACCAATTCCTAATGTCATGTTGCTAAAGCAAAAATCACACAGGTGTCTGTGCAACACTCATTGAAGTAAAATGTAAGAGCAGACAAGCCCTGTGCCTCCTTTTGGTCCTATGAAGTGTGAGCTGAGGTGATGAGTGACTGACAGCCTCCCCAGCACCTGCCACTGTAGGATGGAAGCACCTCCTGCTGCATCTTGTTACAACTATCAGTACTGAAGGCAACAGTGAAGTCTAGTATTTAGTTTGCAGAAGGACATGAGGGTTTCTCTTTGAATTCATAACAGGATCAGTGACTTGGGTTTTTAATATGTAACAAGAAGAGTGTCCACTTTATTGACATCTATAAAATGATGTTGTATCTTTGTGCCTGGGACTTTCTGAGGGGAAGGTGGAAGAAAAAAATCACTTTATTTTTAACACTATTTTATACCCTAGATGAGCACAATGCCTGGACTACCTACCCGGCCCTGTTTTTATGATATTGATTTGGATCCTGAAACTGAACAAGTGAATGGACTGTTCTAAACAGGTAAGTTATTACTGGGTAAGAGTTGTGCTTTTTCATGAATTACAGGCAGAAACAAAAGCTAAGAAAACTAAAATTCTAATGCTTTCAAAACATTTCTTTTCACACTTCACTGAGTGGAAATGGGATAGGAGTGAGTTGGCAATAACCAGTGAATGAAATACTTGCATTTCAATACATTTTGGGAGGAAGAGCATGGCTTATCAGAAGTTGACAGTGTAGGGGAGAGAGCTGCATCTAATGGACTATGAAGGGACTGCAGAGGAGGCTAAGCTTCCCCTGCTGGAGCCCAGGAGTCTTGGGGTTCAGAGTTGAAACATTGCAGGTCAGGAACAGTTGACGGTCTGTATACTCTGAATAGACAAAAGGCAAGAATTGAGTAAATGTCTCAGAAAGTAAGAAAGAGACGGAAATAGGATCAATCCAGGAGTTCTTGGGGACATAGGTGAAAGGGCCTCAAGTACTTATCACAACGAATGAGCCATTGTCAGACACATCCAACTGAAATTTCAACAACATCAGACATGAATATCCTAAACGTTCTTCTCCAGAGAAGGAAAAAATGGCTTGCCTATGAAAAAATGAGGATTAGAATAAACACCTGTCTTCTTATCAGCAATAAGGTGGACAATGGTGGAATGCCCTCCAAGTTCACAAGGAAAGATGACTTTCAACCTGTGTTTACAGCCAGCCAAATTTATCCGGACGTTTTCAGACATGCAAAAGTGCCACCCCCACATCTCTTCCCAGGAAATTATTTAGAAATGTACTTCAGCAAGAAACCAAGAAAAAAAGGAAGACATGGGTTTTGAGAAACCGAATCCTGATTTGGACAGTAATGAAGGGGAGTTCTGACAACTGCAAATGACTGTGTTACCAACCCAATGTGGAACAGGGGGCAGGGGAGCTTGAGAAAGACTAGAAAAAGCTAGAAAAGACCAGGGTATCCAAAGGTCGTAATACAAACAAAAGCTCTTGCATTGTTCGGGAAAGTAAAGGTCCAGGTGGAAGCAAACTGTAGCGATCATTTAAGTGACAATAAAGATGGTAAGAAGAGAAACTGAGCTTGATGCTAGGGGGACACTGTTCTTCATGAGGATATAGGTGATGCTGGAAGTGCAGCCTGGCTCACTGCTTGGTCTGGTCTTAAACAGTATTCACATAGCCATCACGTAAATGCCGTGCATTAGTCTAAAGTCCATTTATGGAAAGACCCTAGAAGAGTTGGTGGTGGGAGAGGATGTAAATGTTAATGACTTCGGCAGTGTGAGTGGGTGATGGTGCAGCATGGAAGGGAAGAAGAAACATTGAGGTGCTTAGAAAAGATGTTTATCTCGTTTGTTTTTCATTCCAGATCATCCTTCTCCAAGAACTACTTTGAAAGTTTGGCCAGTATCTATTCAGGCCCACTGTGAAGTTAAGAAGTGTGGGGAAATCAAGAGAAATCAGCCCCTAGCCCGAAGATCTTCTGAAATAAATACTGGGAATTTCCCCAGAAGCCTTTCTTCAGCCTTAATTCTCATCACCATGTATCAGTTAACATAAATCATGCACATGTCTATTTACCTTAGTGGAGTTCCACAGAATAAAAGGACATAATTTTGCTATCTTGGTGTTGAAATGTATGTTGTAGCATCAATAGACTGTGCTGCAATAACTCTGCCATCCTACGTGAGCCCATTTGTTCAGCAGACCCTGAGGCTGAAGAAGCAAGTTGCAGTATGTACGTTATGATACTGTTATGTTTAAAGGGGAAAACATGTGCGTGCTTGTGTATTTCTGGGAGGACACATAATTCAGGAAATGTCCTGAGGGTTGGGGTAGAAGTAGGGTATGAAGGAGGACTTGCATTTTTATTTTATACTTTTCTATATATATATATATATATATATTTTTTTTTTGTCTTTTTTCGTGTCCGGCAACGGATCACAACCCTCAGTGTCGCGCCCGTACCGGACTGGGACCAGCAACGGGATCGCAACCCTCGGCATTGCTCCCACACCTCGCTCAGCCAGTGAGCGGGAACCGGTCTGTATGTGGGATCCGAACCCTCGGTGGGAGCGCCACCACACTCCCAAGCGGCGCACTGTAGCATTGCGCCACTGGGCCGGCCCATACTTTTCTATATTGTTGATTTTCTTTTCTCTCTCTGTCTCTGAGGAAGAACTGCTTATACGGTTTTGTCCTGAACTTCCCTGGAATTCCCATTTCTGTCACAGCTTTACCACCTTTTACTTTTAAAGTCCTCAAGAACGAAGGTCACATAGTACTAACCTTAGGTTAGCTCTTTCTTCTCCGTTGATTTAGCAAATATTTACTTATTGATCTTCTACTATGTGTCTGGGCTCTACCTCTCCCTACAAATTTTTTTTTTTTCTAAAATATTTTCCCTTCTCTTCTTGTTATTTATCTTCTCTGTTCTTCCTCTTTCATTTTTTTCCTTCCCTTTTTCCCCTTGTCTTCCTGCATTGGATCCTTCCAGAGGATGTTGCATCACCACTGGTGCCAATGCTAGACACTGCTGATGTTGGCAGCGCAGTATTTTTCCTGTTGTCCTTGGTTTTATTATTATTTTTATTTTTAATCCCCTGGGTTTGCATCAGTGTTGTATTATAGTCAGTTTTAAGGTTCAAAGAAATGATGACAGTGCTTTGGGAAGCATATGGCAAAGTGATCACAAGTGTAGAGCCCCAGGTCTACCATGCAGAGCCTCACCCACCTCTCTGCCTCCACGTCTGCACCTTGCAAATAAGAGCTCTGTTGGTACCTTCTTCGTGAGGGTGTTTGTGAAGTTAAGCAAACACTCAATAATTTTGACAGTCACTGTTCCAAAGCAGCATTTGGGCCCTGTTTGCACAGAGTTCATTGTTTCTGATATATTTTTTAAATGTCCCATAAAACCTCATCTGGAATGGGATGTGCTGGAAATTCAGTTTGTAGACAAGAGAAGGAAGCAGTCTCATCAGACATGGTGACTTAAAGATCATCTTGAAGGCTTTAGGCTTCCTCTTATCACCAAAAGCCACGTGGATTTAAATCCTCAATACTGGTAGTAACAGTGAACACAATTGGGAGAGGGTAAATTGAGATTTATAAGCCAAAGATGATAAACAAAGCTTTAATGCAGTAATAATACTGATAAACAGATTGCACCTTTTCTGATCTGTTCCTCAGAGACTGTTGCAGTGCATTGAAGATGTACTTCAAAAAGTTCATGAGGCCGGCCCTGTGGCTCACTCGGGAGAGTGTGGTGCTGGTAGCACTGAGGCCGCGGGTTCGGATCCTATATAGGGATGGCCGGTGCGCTCACTGGCTGAGCATGGTGCAGACCACACCGTGCTGAGGGTTGCAATCCCCTTACCGGTCCAAAAAAAAAAAGTTCATAGACAGATTTGTATTATCTTTCAATTCTATTTTTCCACAAACTTTTTGAAGTACCCTCGTACATACACTCAATTCAAAAGAGAGACAGCAGCATTTATGTGCTGCCAAGTAAAGCAGATTGCAACAGAATTATTGTTGAGTTTGTGTTGGCTTTGTGCAAACCTCATGGTGCCCACAAACACATCAAACCACTAGAAAACTGGAGCAACAGTTTCATTTAATGGTTTACCAGGGAAGGGGGTTGAAGGGCTTATTCCCAGAAGGTCTCTGAAATGTGAGAATTATTAACAAGGAGTTATAAGTCATTTTTGGAAGCTACAGGCCCAGGTGGTGGGAGGATAGAGATCAGAATAGGAAAAATGGTATGATCAGTAATGTTCAGATAAATATGTAAGCTATTTTATTGGCACACTGTATCTGGTGAAATTAACAAGATAAGCTGTAGGTAGGATAATTTCTCATCAGATTGGAGAGATATTTATAGCCTATTTCCTATTATATAATGAAATGCTACTAATAGAGTAGTAGACATACGTATAATATCTTAAACAGTCTTAACTGTCACGTGAGTTCAGGGATGACAGATTCTTTCATGTGTGATGTACTGGATACATTTTTTAAAGACAGATATGGCATCGGTTCTAGTCATATCCTAAGGAAAATGCAGAGTGCAGTATTTTATTTATAGTACTATACTGTGTGTGAGTGACTGAACATGTGGTACAGGTCGGGGGTAAATTTTTGTAATACACCTTAAAGAAATCTGTCTTAATTTGCCCTTCAAATACAAAATAAGTTCACCTCAACTGCCTTTCAGTTCCCTTTCACTAGTTTTTGTTTGTTTGGGTTTTTTTCTTTTTCTCTTTTTTTAGAAAAGCAAGTGAAATAAGATCTACCAGTCATTAATGTGGCCTTTATTGTTTTAACCTGTACCTTGATCATTTCTCACTGTTTTCTAAGACAGCTATCTAGATAAGCTCATCTTATTTTTTGCCTGAAAGTTGCAAACTCCCAGGTCTGCTAGATCCTTGAATCTCAATGAGTAACACCATCTCAACTGCTTATGAATGGCATGAATTTATTTTGGTTTGTTTAAAGTTCAAAACTGGAGCCGGCCCGGTGGCGCACTCGGTAGAGGGCAGCGCTTGGGAGCGCAGCGACCCTCCTGCCGAGGGTTCGGATCCCATATAGAGACCGGTCGGCTCACTGGTTGAGCACGGTGCGGCCGCAACACCGAGGGTTGCGATCCCGTTACCAGTCACGAAAAAAGACAAAAAGGAAAAAATAAATAAATAAATAAAGTTCAAAACTGGCAGCAAGCATGGTTAGCAATCCATATGGGGATACAAAGGACTTTTTCACAGACTTGTGTTTGCCAAATGAACAAAGCTAAATCAAATTCTTAATTACAACTAAACTAGATGCTTATGTATTTTCCTGTTTTATAGTTTTTGTCTCAACTTTTATCTGTAAATTAAAGATCTTGACAACTTAGATTTGGCTTTGCTCTTGTGTCCCAGAGCTCTTTCCTTAATAAGTCGTGGTGGAAGCCAGAGAATCTTACAAAGGTGAAATATATTCCTGAAAAAACATCTAAAATTGGATACCTGAGATTTACCCACCCAAAGATCATGATCCTATTGAAGAAAGGAGATAAGTGCAGCTGCTTTTCAGTGGTTCTTCACTCCACTTTACCAGGCTCTTCATCTGGATGCTGTGCTGGGAAGGGCCTGTGGAGGAGGCTGGAATTATGATGAATCTTCCTGGACCTCACAGCTGGAGTTAGTAATGCCCTCCTAGGTAATATTAAATCCAAAGCAACTCACCCTAAGCTCTTGTAGCAACACCTTTCATTGGGCATACATTAATGCTTCATGTGTACAAATAAATACTTGTGCTTTTCACTATGGCTAGCAACTTGTTTAAAGGCTCATAAAATGCATGAAAATACACAAGCTAGCCTATCAGGTAGGAAGGTAGACGGTGCCGGTACTCTTTGCTGTGATTGGGACTGGAATTGTGAGGAATGTCCACTCCTGTTCACCCTGCTTAATTGAGAGAGTCGAAGTTAAGTGGGCATCTAGGAACGTTCTGAAGGGAAACATGGGCAACTTGTAAACTACCTCTCTATCTATTTATCTATCTATCTAATCTATCATCTATCTATGTACTTTACTTACTTTACTTAGTTCCTTACTTACTATACTTAGTTACTTACTTATTTACTTTACTTGCTTTACTTACTACTGGCCAGTACGGAGATCCCAACCCGTGACTACCTCAACTTATTTTTGGAAATATGTAAAGTATAAAAGATAGGTGGAGCTGGGCTCCTGTGCCCTTCTCAAGTTGTAGTCATGTATGCAGTTGTTCCTGCGGGTCACAGAGTTCTGTATGCATCATCTCGACCTTATTCCTAGAGGGAGACAAAAGTCTGAGAGCCTGTTTAGTAATGAACCACCTTCAAACCCACTCCTGGGAAAATTTTGTTTCTATTTCGATTCATATATGTAATTTTCTCTCCAAACAAAGGAGACCTCACTACTGTATGCACAGTGTTGAATCCTGTTTTAAAATGTGATATCTGCTCCGTCTTTATATATTCTGGGGTGGGGGTGGAGGGTTGTAATGGGAATGCCTATAATTTAAAACCGGATCTTGCTACTTTGCGCCTGAGAAAGCTCGGGGTTCATTACCCTCGCCCCCTCCCCATCTCCCGGCTCTCTCTCTCTCTCGGTGGTACCCCTGCCCTTACCCTGCTGCGATCCGCAGCGGGGACTCGCGCCCCTGACTAGGACAGGGAGATCCGCTCTCACGTGGCAGGTCCCCTGTTCCCCGCCCCCCTCCTCCCCCAGTCGGCCCTTCCCGCCTCCCCGCCCCCGGCTCTGGCCCCGCCCCCCGCC